CTGCAGAACTGGGGCCCTCCACAGGGCCCCTGGAGGAGCCCTGCAGGGCCCCAGAGGGGGCCTCTGGGGCCCGAGCAGGGCGCCCCCGTCTTCCCCCCAGTTGGGGCGCTCCGACAAGGGCCCTGCGTCTCCTAGGATCGCAGGAGTTGTCACCGCTTCCTCGGCGGAAGGCTGCGGCAGGTCGGCGGAAGAGAAGGGCAGGGCCGCCCCCGCCGGCGGCAGCCGGCGGAAGGCGGCGGAAACAAAACATGCGCCCCCAAGAGAGATGACAACCTCTCGGGGCTCCGGGTCTCCGGAGGCCGCCATGTATCGCCCCTTCCATGATCGCGCCCAACAGTGGGGTGGTGCTAGAAGTGCCCCTGGCCCAAGGTGTCCCCAGGACCTCCCGCGAGGCCCCCCCCCCCCGGGGGCCCCAGAGCACACCCCAACGAGGCCCCCGAGGGCCCCCGGGCCCTGCACAATGAGCGCCAAGCTGGGGGCACCTCTTTGGCCAGCCGAGACATCCAGCTGCTTCAATTCTGTCGACGTGTGGACCCCGGGGACCAGTTCATTTTTCTCGTCTTGAGCCGTGATTTTGACACTCCCGAGGCCCGGCGAGGGCCCCTCCCGAGGCCGAAAACTGCGAAGAGCCGCCTGCTCTCTAGCTTGTGTGGCGCGCCGCATCGCAGGGAGGGCGCGCCTCCAGCATCGCCCACGGGCCAAGCGAGCCTCGCTCGGGTCCTGCCAGCTCGGGCTCTCAGGGCCTCCGGGGGGGCGTGCGCCCCCGCCGCTGCCCCTGTGGGCCCCTATGGGGGGCAGCGGGAGGCTTGCCGCCCGGCGGCGGCCGCGCCCCCCCCCACGCCGGCGCCGCCCCCGGCCGCGCAGGCCGGCGGCCCCCTGCGGGCTCCGACGGCGGCGGCGATAGGACGAGAGGGCGAGGGCGCGGGCGGCGGCGACGAGGACGGCGAGGAGGACGAGGGCGAGGGCGAGGACGAAGGCGAGAGCGGCGGCACCGGCGAGCACGGGGACGGGCGACGAGGTCGAGGAGGAGGAGGAGGGGGGGGAGGCCGTGCCTCCTTCGTTCCGTCCTCCCGTCGCTCCCTCGCGCGCTCGCTGCACTGGAACGTGCAGCTTCTTTGCTGGGCTGCTGCCGACCCCACGGGCGGAGGATATCCTGCAGCAGCCGCTCGCTGGTGGAGGAGCCGACGCCACTGCAGGAGATGGTGCGGATCTGAATGCCAGGCCCTGCAGCGGGCCTGGGCCCTGGGGCGAGCCCACGTCTCCTTCAGGTCAAGGCGAGCTCGCCCAGGGTCGTCACGAGCGCGATGCACCGGGTCCTTTGGCATCGCTCGGAAGTGCACATTCCTCTCAGTGAGGACCATCGAGGAGCACCCTGGATCATCTGGCAAACAAGCACGCACGAAATCGACGAATGAAAGTGGACTGGACGTCCGAGCGACGGCGAGGTCCAGGCAGTCGGGGGGCGGTCCGGCCTCGAATCGGTCGTTCACGTAGCCAGGGTGCCAGGCCACATCTTTCATGGTGGGGGCCGGCGAGCCAGTCGAGAGGTGCAGCAGCTCGTCCAGAATGGTGAGGGGCCGCGCTGGTGGCGAATCTGGAGTGGCGACCAGCTTGCCTGTTACAATACGTCCGCGTCGATGTACTGGATAGTTGACTGCCGGGTATGGCGCATTCCAAGGGCGCTCTGTAGATTTCTACCGGCGCTCTGCCCAAGGGTTAGGGCGTCCCAGGTGTGCATGCTGCACGTGGGCCTGGAGGCAGCGAGTGCGCCGGCGTACTTGAACATGAGAGGCTTTGCGACCTCGCGAGGTTGAAGTACCAGTGCATGGGGGTGTCGTGGCTGAAGTAGCCTGGTATTGCCGCTGGCGAACTTCTAGGCCCCAGGCCGCATCCCGACAGCAGAGCCCGCCAAGGTGCTGGGCCGCCGACCTGGCGATACGTTGGGGGCGTTTGTGAAGGAAGGTGTTCAGGAGGCCTCACAGCCTGGAGGAGTCCTCATCTGATGAGAGCAGCGGTGCGAGAGCAGCGATGGGAGCTCCACCGGCTTTCCGACCCTGGACAAATCATCGAACAGCTCCTCATCCAGCGCCCTCACCGTGGGCACAGTGAGATCCCAGCGCAGGCCGTGTGCATGGACAGCAGGTGCAATAGCACTGCAGCGCACGGAACTGGCCATGCGGCGGCCCTCGCCGTGCGCGGCGCGTCCGCTCCGCCCTGCCCCTCGTGCAGCTGGACGCGACGCCGAGCCGCTGCGTGCTTTCGCTCGTGGCTGACGCCACATCCTGCAAGGGCCTGACCTCCTCCTCCTCCTCCTCCTCCTCCTCCTCCTCCTCCGCCTCCTCCTCCCCTCGTCCCTCCTCCTCCCCTCCTCCCTCTCTCCTCCCTCCTCCCTCCTCCCTCCTCCCTCCTCCCTCCCTCCTCCCTCCTCCTCCCTCCTCCCCTCCTCCTCTCCTCCCACCTCCTCCTCTCCTCCTCTCCTCCCCCTCCCCTCCTCCTCTCCCCTCCTCCTCCTCCTCCTCCTCCTCCTCCCCCCTCCCTCCTCCTCCCTCCTCTCTCCTCCTCCTCCTCCTCCTCCTCCTCCTCTCCTCCTCCTCCTCCTCCTACCTCCTCCTTCCTCCTCCTCCTCCTCCTCCTCCTCCTCCCCTCCTCCTCCTCCTCCTCCTCCTCCTCCTCCTCCTCCTCCTTCTCCTCCTATCCTCCTCCTCCTCACTCCTCGGCCTCCTCCTCCTCCTCCTCCTCCTCCTCCTCCTCTTCCTCCTCCTCCTCCTTCTCCTCCTTCTCCCTCTCCTCCTCGCTCCTCCTCTCCTCCAATGGGGCAGCCGGCGCGGGCCGCCTCGGTCTCGGAGGAGACGACCAGCGCAGGCGCAGGGTGGACGCCAGGGCTCCGTCCACATAAGTGTTAAGTCGGGCGTGTCCCCCAAAAGGGGGATTTTTGACGGATTTTTTTATATATTAAAAAAGAATAATAGTCTGGGGACTATTTTTTGAAAAAAGTCTGGGGACTATTTTTTGAGCATTTTTTGATCATGTTGTGGCATTGTTTGCGTATTTTTCATTTTTCGCCCAAAATCTCCCTGTAGGGGGACACGCCCGACTTAAACATAAGTGGCTTTTATAAGCGCAGCTCGGCTCCAGTCGAGGGGGAGCAGCACCGAAGCGGCCCGCGAGCTCGATCGATCCATCCTGCGCCACCCTTCTGGCGCGCGGCTCCCGACGGCGCGACGGGGCGCGTGGCGGTCGCCGCGGGCGGGCGGTCCGGCGCGGCGCCGCACGCACGTTTCGTGTCGACATCGTGGGCGCCGGGGGGGGGGATTGCGGTGTCCTCGCCAGTGGCGGTCGGAGGGCGCGTACAGTGGAGGCCCATGCCAAGAAACACCCTGCTGGCCTGCAGGATGCCCTGCAATTCTTAGGCTTTGGTGGTTTTGCCATGCAAAGCGTGACTGTCCCACACCAAAAGTCGATGGCCGTCCTGGGGTCTCAGGGTTGGGTTTCTTGTGGAAGGTTTCTTGTGGTCGAGCCCCCACTATAACAGGGGGGGGCGATGAACGGGTGGGCAGCGAGGGCTGCCGAAAAGGGGCCCTCCAGGGCCCCAGAGGGGGCCTCTTCGGGCCCGAATAGGGCACCTCTCTCCCCCCCTCTCTTATCGTCCCCCATTAGCCCGTTCGGTAGCAAATCATGGGAGCCTGATGTGCCCTCTTAGTTCCGTCTTTAGCGTCGACTAGCGTCGATTGGCGTCTGGGAGCCGATGAGACAGGGCCAATTTAGCGCCCATCAGCGTCGATTCGAAGGCGATCTGCGTCGACTCGTGTCGACCAGCGTCGATTCGCAAGAGTCGACAAGATGGAACGGGAGGCTCCCATGAGCTGCCACGGAGAATTCGCGCCCAAGGCGGCAGCGGCCAAGGCCGAGGCGACCGCGCTTATGTCGGGCTTGTCCCCCTACAGGGGGATCTTCGACGAAGAATCAAACATACCCCAAGCATACCCCCAAAAGGGTCAAAACAACACCCCCAAAATAGTCCCCGGATTAGTTTTGGACTATTTTGGGGCTATTTCTGGGGTGTGTTAAATTTCTCGTCGAACGTCCCCCTGAAGGGGGACAGGCCCGACTTAAGACCGCGCCTGCGGGGGGGGCCCGTCGGCGGGCGAGGGCCGCCCTCGCCTGCGGGGCCCCCCGGCGCGCGGCGCCTCGCTGCCAGCGAGGCGCCGAGCTCCTCGCCGCCCGTGGGGGCGGGGGCAGCACCCTTGGCGAATGGGGCCGGAGAGGCTCCCCAGACCGCGTGGGGGAAGAATCGCGACGGGATCTTCTTTGCCATTCTGGGCCCTCAGGAGGCCAGAATGGGGCCGAAGCCCTAGTAAGATCCATGCTTCTGGCTTCCTCGCCGAGGCCGTGTTGGACGCCCTGACACCTGCCCGCCCCTCCCGTCCAGGTCCACGGGGAGGGGGTAGGGGGAGGGGTAAATCCTTCCCCGAAGGGGGAGAGGTAGGGGTGGAAGAGGAAACGCCCGAAACCACCGACGCCCAGAGGGCTGGTGGGATTCTGGGCCCACGGGGGGGGCCCTTACTGGGCCTCGGGGCCGTTCAAGAATGCCTCAGGGCGAAAAACGGATCCCAGGGAAGGGGTCCAGACCTCTGGGGGTCGACGCGGGGACAAAAATCGCCGCGTCGGGGGGTCTGGGTCAGAGACCAGGGGGAGGAGGCCTCCGCCGCACCTTGAGCGAGCCTGGATGGGGACTGGACACCGCCGCAGGCCTGATCCGCCGCCCGGGCTTCGGCGAAGAGGTGCTCGCCCAGGCGAGGAGCCTGGCTCAGCGCAGGCGGCGCGGCCCACGAGAGGCCCGAGCTCGTGCACGGCGAGGCGGGCACAGTTGAGGAGGACACCGCCGAGAGCGACCCCGACCTCGCGGTCTCGAAGCAGGAGTGCGACAAGGACACGCCTGTATTGTGTGGGGCGCGGCCGTAAAGGGGGGCTCGCCCTCCTTTCCCGCGGCCCCGCCTCAGGAGAAGGGAGGGGGGGTGGCCGACGCAAAGCACTCCGCGGAGTGCGGCACGCAGGTGGAGTACATCGAGCTGGAGCCCAGTGTCGCCGACGGCAAGCTTGAGCATAAGTCCTTCTGGCAGGAGGTGCTGGGTGAGAAGATGTTGGAAATGGAAGCAGCAGAGGTGGAGTACACGCAGTCCGTGGAACAGTAGGAGGTCTTGGTGGCGGAGGTCACGCGGAAAACAGCCCAGCAGGAGGCAAATTCCGTGGAGTTCTGGATGCCGCGCGGCCTGAAGGACGAGGAGCTGCAAGCCGTGGCAGAGGAGTTGAAGCTGGCACACAACGACTCCAAGAATCGGGTCGAGGAGGTGGAGACCGAGACACGCGATCTCGCCAACAGGATAGACGAGCAGCGCAGGCAGATCGCGGAGCTCGAGATGGCCCTGAACAAGCAATACGGGATCGCCTCGCTCGCGGGGGTTCCTGCCTTCCTTGTCCTGGCCTTTGGCCTGGGAGTCTCGCTGCAGGACCATGAGATCGTCGACGGGGGGTGCCGGCCGTGCAACGTCAAGCAGCAGCAGCGCTACGACGACGCCCTGGGGACCCACGGCCATTAGTCGGGCTCCGAGGAAAGCCAGGGCAGGAAGCTGATCGCAGCCGATGCAGAGGTGGGCAACAGGGGCAGCCAGCGGAGTTCCGCGGACTTGGACACCCTGGGCGGCCTTGGCAACCATCACAGAATCGCGGAGAACCAGCGCAGTTCCCAGCACGCCTACGCGACGGGAGAGAGCAACGGCGACGTGCTGACGGTGCTGGCGCGGCGGGGGGCCGCACAATCAACTCCCAGGCAGCGCGCGCAGAGACGTGTGAAGGCGCCGCAGCAGGCCCACAACGATCGACATGGCGCGTGGATAGCAGTGGTGGCGACGCTGCTTGTCCTCAGCAGCGCAGCTGCCGGCGGCAAGCGAGGACGTGCAAGACCAAGGAACGAGGGTGGTGCCAGACGCCTACTATCACGACGGTTTCGTGTGTTTCGTGTGCCTCTCCGAGCTCATTTGCGGCGACAGCGACAGCGTGTTGGGCCAGAGTGCCCAAGATGAGGGCTACCCATTTGACGACTGCCAAGTCGGCGCGGACGCTGTGCGGCTCTTGCAGTGCGCCGAGGAGGGCGCGCAGCGGTGGTCAGTCGACGTCGACATGTGCTTGGGAACCACGACGCAGTTCCCGTGCTACCGAGAGCCGTGGCCGAGCAACAGTAAGCCTTGGCAGGGTGAGCCGCTGGCGCTGGCGCTCTCAGAGCAATCCAATGGGACTACTGGGGCCAGCTCGAGGCACGTTGCAGCAGGCCGTCAGCCTGCCAGGGCCAGGCGTGGCTGATGGGGAAATGTTGTTGGCGGCGGCCTGGCCACTGCCTGAACGCGGCCTGCCGCGCATGGGCGTGCCGATCAGTGCTGCGCGCTTCTCTCGGCCCCAGCATGGATGTTAAAAACTCCTCCTCCTCCTCCTCCTCCTCCTCCTCCTTCTCCTGGTCCTGCTGCTCCTCCTCCTCCTCCTCCTTCCCCTCCCCCTCCTCCTTCCCCTGGACTTCCGAGGCCCCGAGAGGAGGAGGAGGAGGAGGAGGAGGAGGAGGAGGAGGAGAGGAAGAGGAGGAGGAGGAGGAGGAGGAGGAGGAGGAGGAGGAGGAGGAGGGAGGAGGAGGAGGAGGAGGAGGAGGAGGAGGAGGAGGAGGAGGAGGAGGAGGAGGTGGTGCGCTTGCTGGCGCTGGGCGCAGCGCGCGGGCGAGCGCCCAGGGACCATCTTGCAGTTCTTCCTCGAGTGCAGTCGTGTGCTGGCAGCGAGCGGCTAGAACTGCTATTGGCCTGTCGAGGTCAAGCCCTTGGTCGGCGGCGCCCCGGCCCGTGAGCTGCGCACGGTCGCGTGCTGCCGTGCCCGCGGCGCAATCGAGGCCCGCTGGAGCTGCAGCTGCAAGAAAGCGCGCGGCAGGCCCTCGGACAATTGCCTGCGCGTGTTGCCGAAGTTCGGCGCGCACCTCCCGTCGGTGCCCCAACAGCTCGTCGTCGAACTGCGGGCGCCGGGCAGCGGCTAGCTGCTCTGTCGGGCCCGCCGGGCGGGTCAGGCGCTCGGCCGCGGCCGAGCGGGGGGAGGGGTGCGGCCCCGCTCCTCCTCGACGGTCGCGGATCCTGCCTCGTCCTCTGTCGTTCCTCCTCGCTCCCCTCGTCCCTCCTCGTCCGTTTCCTCCTTCCTCCTTCGACCCTCCCTCACTCGTCTTTCTGGTTCGTTTCTGCTCCGTCGCTCCTTCTCTCGTCTGCCCCTTCCCGTCTCCATCATTCCTCCTGTCTCCACCCGTTTCACCCCTGCCTTTTCCCACCCACCCGCCCGTTGTTTTCTCATCGTTCCCCTCCTGTGACGACGACGACGACAACGACGACGACGACGACGACGACGACGACGACGGCGTTGACGACGACGACGTCGACGACGACGACGACGACACCGATGATCGATTCGACAACAAAAAACAAACGACGACAGAATACAGGTTACGATAGCAGGCGGCGGCGGGCGTTGACGACGACACACGACCGACGACGGACGACGGCTTCTCCACCCCACCCCCCGTGAATATGGCCCCGTAGGTCTGGGGACCTGCAGCTGCAGCAGCAGCAGCCGCGGCACCTAGTCCGCCGCCAGTGACCCGCGCGGACGGGGTCGTCGTCGTCGTCGTCGTCGTCGTCGTCGTCGTCGTCGTCGTCGTCGTCGTCGTGGTCGGCCTCGCCGCCGCCGTCGCCGTCGTCGCTGCCGCCGTCGTTTTCGCCGTCGAAGGCCGGGGACGGACAGGGGGTGAAATTGGAGGAGGGGGGAGAGGGGGATGATGAGCATGATAATGCCAATGTGTTGGGTCGAAAACCTAAGCCACCCCAAAAACTTTTCCAGCGATGCGGGAAAACCGAGGAAGTTGGCGACATAATGAAGCATTCGCGTGCCGATTGTATTCTGAATGCGCGGCGGCTGCCAGCTGATGAAAGCCGCGTCCAGGCAATGGAAGGACATTCCGCTCTCACTATAAACGATGCCGCCACAGCAGCGCCCATGACCACTGACTGGATTGATCAACCTTTGTTTTACAATGGTGATTGAAGATACGGGGCGCCAGCACGCCGATCACAAGATCTTTCACCCTAACTGACACTATCATGCAACAACCTGTAGACACCTCGTGTCCACCAATATGGAAGTTGCAGATCGGTACTAAGCAGCCTTTGCAGCTGTCACAAGACTGACCACTAGCAAGCAGCAGCATGTGAAGGAGCCGAACTCTAATACAACCAACAGGTCCACGTACGCCCGGCAGGCAGGGAGGACGTGCTGATTGGGCTTGGAACCCGCGGAATCTCCCACGACCTGCAGCCTGGAACTGGTCTTGACGAATCGCGCGGTGGAAAAAACACCCTCACGGCGACGGGGGAGAGGGAAAAGGCCCAAAGGTGGATGATGCGGGGGAGATATGGATGGATAGGATATGAGTCCCAGCCAGCGCAACGCAACGTTCGTAACCGCCGCTGCATATGGTTTCCCAGACCAAGTTCCAGGTGAATGGGTGGGGCGATTGCGCGAGCAGTCGGGGTGCCAAATCATCGCGGGCAGAAAATCATGGTCTTCCCCCCCCAAACAAAAGGATCCCCCAGCCTCATCTGTACACTTTTTTTCGTGTGGCAATTACATATGATTCTGCCCCATCGTCCATCCTACATATGAGCTCGCACCATCTCAGCCAAGCCGGGTTCGACCCCCCCCCCGCCATCCTTTTCAAACAAAGTTTAGGCGCGCGCTCGTTTATCACACATGATCAGTTTTCGCGAATCCGCTTCACAAAGTGAGACGAATTTCACACGCGCGCGTTGTCGCGCGCGCGTGCCGAAATCAGTCGAAAACCATTTGTTTCGGAATGATTTAGATTCAAACATCGAGGGCCAGCAAACATTTAAACCAAATGGTTTCGCAACGCGGATTTTCAAACGGGCTTCGCGCGCGCGCATGTCGAAATCGCTCGAACGCCATTGCGCGCGTGCCGTCGCGAGAATCCTTGTGCGACAGTTAAGGCGAAGTGCGCGCGCGCGTCGTCGCGCGCGCATGCTGCAATCCTTCAAAACCTTCGGATCATTGCGTCTACCGTAGTCGGCGTTGCCATGATATCGCGCCCGCGCAAGTCGCTGATTCGCAGTGACGTGCCCTGTGGGGTGCGCCCAGCGGTCAGCGCCACCGCGGCCGCGTCGGTGGCGCCAAGCTATTTGCCCGCTGCGCGCGCGTGCTAGGGTCGGCGGGGCCGCATAGATGCACCAGCCAACGCCAAGAATGCATCGCAATTGTCACCGCATGGATTTTGCAGACCAAGTCGCGGGTGGGTGGGTGGGGCGTTCACAAGGTCGCGGGGCGTGTCAATTCATAGGCAATTGCACCGCGTAGTTTGCACCACGTAGGTTCCTCTTGTTACTTCAAAAGGGATTTGGATCCACCCATGGGTTTCGAGCTCACCCTTTCGCGAAGTGCAATCTGCAAAGGCTGATGCCCCATCGCTCTCTTCTGGTGCTCGTGTGACTCCATATCAATCAAGCCAAACCACATATCGCCACTTCTCACCCCCCTTGAACAGTATTGCCGCCGAGGTCTCGTTGATCAGAGTTCATGAACTTTCAAGAATCCGTTGCAACAGGAACGACGCATTCCACACGCGCGCGGCGTCGCGCGCGCATGCCGGAATCCGTCAGTGAATACCGTTCGGCTTCGGAAGGATTTCAATGTTTCCTTCCATATGAAAAAAATGCTTCGCAACATGATTGCTCAGAGAAGTTTGCGCGCCTTTCCCTTGCACGGGAGGTTCTCACGGATTCTTTTTGCTTTCACATGTGGATCAAATTCGACCGATCAGGCCTGTCGCGCGGGCGTGTCGCATTCATCCGCTCGCCCTTGCAAGCGCGCTGAGGGGGCGGGGGCGGGGGCGGGTGGGCGGGCGCGACCCTTGCCAAAAATGATTTTGCGGGCCATTGGCGCTCGCCGGCCGCGCGCGCATGTCGAAATCGCTCCGAGACCTTCATCGCCGACGCGCGGAGGCCATGATCGTCGTCGGCGTGACCAGCATCGGCGCCGTCAGTGGCCGCGCCGTCGTCTTTGTCGCCATCGTCGGTAGGTTGGTTCTTCATAAATGCGTCTTGTTGATTGTTCATATCTATATATATATATACATATTGTAATTGGCGCTATGGATGTCATTGTTATGGCGCCCCAACATCGCACGCGATTCCGAATGTGCATGGGCGTCTTGAGCGCCGCGTTTGAGCTAGTTCAGATCCGTGAATTTCGCTGCTGTAACATTGCTGTCTACGACGCCCTCAGTTCTTTCTCCTCGCGCCCGATCGCCCCTTCATCTTTGCTTCAGTCCGCGTGCTCTTCTCTGGTCGTCGCTGCAGGCTGGTCGCGGGACCTCCAGGCCTGTTCCTCGCCGGTGTTTGACCGAGCCCGCGCGCGCTGGCGCGTCCGCGGCGACGTGCCAGCCGGCGCCAAGCAGTCGCAATCGCCGCCGAGTGGGTTTTGCACGCCGAGCCGCGGGCGGGCGTGCGGGATGCTTGCGCGAGTAGTGGCCTCGACAACTTCAATCTCGGCATGCGAATTGGGCTGCGCAGGTTGCGCGACGGAGGTTCTATTTCCAAGGAAGAAATCCACCCTCCAGGCATATCCAATAACATGTTGCGCGCGCATTCGGTTATCACTAGTCATCAGCTTCCATCGATTCCTGGCAAACCAACCACAACTCACTCGCGCGTCGTTGCCCGTTTGCTGTAATCTAATGGCAACAATCATGATTTGGCCTCGCGCGGGGTTCAAGAACGATGTCCCCCTGGAACATGCAACGCAAACGGTGCTGCACCATGGTGTTTCACACGTGGGCGCGCGCCCGTGCGCATTATTGCGAGCATCGTTTTTTTCAACAGTTTCCTCATTCTCATCAAATGCGTCCACGCGGGCTTCCTGCACGCGCGCATGTCGAAGTCATTCGAACGCCCGCTCGCTGGGGGCCGGGGGGGGGGCGGGGCGGGGGGGGCGCGATCCCTGGCGAAGAATGCCACGCGGGCCATTCGGCCGCGCGCGCATCTTCGCGCCCTGCCAAAGCCTCGTTGCTGACGCGTGAACGCCATCACTTTCGCGTGCGCGATCAGCAACGGCGCCGCCTTTGGCATTGTCCGTGTCATCGTCGCCCTCGCCGCATGCATCGCTACTATCCCCATCGCTTC